TGGCTTCCCACAAAGAATATTGGGAGTTTTGATTTTTTGAGATTGCTGGAGGTTTTTAGGAGAGACCCCTTAACACCCCCCAAAAAGAAAACTACAATTCCCCAAGTTCCTGTGATGAGGGATTGGTTGTTAAACCACTCTGGGAAGGGAACAAGGGGGTCTCCTGTCACCTCACAGAACCCTTACAAACTAGCGCTCCCAGATATCACGACCATTTAAAGTGGTATCATAGTGCTTCAAGCAGTGAAGGCAGTGAAGGCTGCCAAAGACTCCTGTCTGAAACTTTGGAGAACCACTCCTAATCACTGTGAAGGCAATACAAAACTTTTTTCTTAGTATAAGGCAACTTCCAATGTTTCACAGCAGAAGGGCCTCATTAAGCCTCAGATGTGAAGCCTCCTCCAACAAATGGAAGTTACTAGGATTCGCGCTGTTCACAGCTAACTTATCCTATTGATTTCAATGAGACTAAAGTGACTATGATTAGGATCAATGGCTGCAATCCTGGGTCCAGCTACTCATACAAAGTCTCACTGAAGTGAATGGGCACAGGCAACTGCACTTGGGTTCATTCACAACCAACGGACATGACTTACCAAGTGCTGGTGCTGCACAATCTCCATTCATTTCAGTGAAGCCAGACTAGAAGCTTCCTGCAAGGCCTTGCTGATGTGAATGGAGGCCCATGTTTGCTGCGCCACTCCCAGTCACAGCTAAGCTTTGTATTATTATTATTATTTATTAAATTTGTATACCACCCTTAATCTGCAGATCTCAGGGTACCAGAGGGCCAGTGCATGGAGCTGTCCAACCCTCAAAACACACATTTCTCTTAAAGAACTTTGTTCTGAATGCATCCAGATAATATTTGCAAACACCATGCATCAGGCACTTAATTTTAACGGCTATCAGGCAAATTTAGTACATGGTGAATCACCAGTTCTTCAGTGCACATGGTTCTGGAAGGAATTATCCACTTTCCTTACAGAAAACTTCCAACTGAACTTCATCATTGTCATCATCATTTGAAGGTAGAGGTTCTCCTCAATCCTTCCACTTAGTTCCAGCCCTCCTCCATGGGGCTTGCAGGACATTCTAAGACAAGGTTACCAGAGACTGGCGTGCAAAATCAACACAATGCTCGCAGAATAGAATTGCCTGGGATTAGCTTTCTAGAACTGATTGCTCAGCGAAACTTCAATATTTAAACCCTCAGGAGTTTCCCAGCAGGATTTTAAATATAATGTATTTCCCTAGCCTGTTTCTGAAAGTTACAATGTCTCTTCCACCCACAACTCTGTTACAGTCAGTCATCCTTTTGGGACTAATGGCGCTCTGTGTCTCCAGGTTTACACCAATTCTGTCCAAGGAACAAGAGGTCCTAGAATTCTATCTAGTGACTTCCAGAGCCAGTTCAAGCACAACAGTTCTTATGCTTAGGTCTACTTTGACAACTAGGAACATAGCTGAAGAACCACTAATACACACCACTAATAAAACAATCCAGTAGACTCAACCTGTTGCTGGAGTCATAACAAGTCAAATCTCTCCCACATCCTTAGAGGCTTGATAGTGAAAGGCCATCTCCATCATAAGCATGAAATGGCATCTAGCTGAGTTTTTACTTCATCCAGCAAAGCATTTCCTGCTGGGGCACAAAACTATTTTGCATTAAAAGACACTGCTGCAAATTCCTTATAGAGATTCAATCAGCATCCCAATGGCTTGTGATTTTGCTCTCTTCATAGTAACATGCTTCTGCACAGCCTTCCAGTTAAGGTGCTTTTCCTTCCTTCCTTAGAAGGTAGTGTGTGTGTGTGTGTGTGTGTGTGTGTGTGTGTGTGTTTGTGTGTGTGTTGAGCTACGCTGCTCCATCATTCCACTATTGGAAGGACCGCATATGCTAAAATTGACGGAACAACAAAAACATGTTCAGAAGCCGTATGCGCCAATTCTCTCTCTTATCTCCCTTCCTTTCCCCCACCCCCCATAAATGCTGACTACTACATCTCCATTTCTTGATACGTGAAGGAAAGCTTGCTACTTTCAGCAGAAAAAAAATAAGCTATGGGAAGCAAAGGCTGTACATTCAATAATAATGCATTTATGGTGGATTTGTGTTCATCATTCATGTCAAAGCAAAGTCTGAGCCTTTCAACCTGTTTTGCTTAAAAAAATGAATATACCACCCAAATGTTTAGTCTTGTTTTACATCATTCGTGTTTTACATGTATAGATAATCTAGACACCTTGAATCATCCAGGTAGACCCATTGGGAATCAACACCAGTCACTTGCCTTCCACAAGGTCATTTTAGTGTTCCCAAGACGTGGCTGTTAGCAGCTCAGTACAGCAGGCATCATACTTCCTTACTGCTTTTGGGACTTCCAGTCTTGACTTGACTTCCAGTCTTGACTTGTACAGGATGGTCTCAAGACCATCATTCTATGGGGAAAGTTGTCTAAGAGGGGAAAAAAATGTAGCATGGGTAAACCGTTGTTACTAGTTTTTTCATCTCTTTTCCCACCTATATGCATAACAGAGGAAACAGCATAAATTTGACAGAGAGCTAATTGGTTCCCCCACACAGCTGGTCTTCATAAAATCGTGTGTATTTACTCTATTCATCCCCATTTGTCCTACTCAGTCCTGGGGCAAGATCTGAAATGGGCAATGTTTGATTTAAAGAGCGTTGACCTGTTGATAGTATATCTCTCCAAATCAACCTTGGTAGATGTCTGTCGTTGTCATGCTTTCAGTCCACAAAATAGATTCCAAAGACATCACGTCCCAGAAAAATAGATTCCTGCACTCCTTGTTGGCACCAGGACTCCTTCTCTGCCACCACCTCTGTTGTTGTTTGGGCAGAAGTGGCTCTCCGTGGTAGGTCATGTCCTGCACCCGTCAGGCAAGGAGTGGGCAGTGCCAGAAATTTCAGAAACTGAGTCCTCAGAGTGAAATGGAACTTTTGACAATGTGATCCATTGCTTGGCTTTAGCAAATAGTGACCTGAAAGATCCCCCGACCTTTTTTTTTTTTTTTTTTTTAGGGCTCAGAGGAGAGCCTCAGAGATGCAGGAAATCATGGTTTTCTTGATTTCTCCTTCCCATTTCCTTTCCCCTCCCCTTAAATGTTAATTAAATACTTGGAAAGAGTTGGTGCTCAATTCCCCCCTGCTCAAAAGGTTCTTAAACAAATGCCAGGCGAATGTCCCAATAAACTAGCAAAGGAATTGCTCCCCCACCCCCATTGGCAGCTTTTGATGGGATGGACTTGTCAGTGGACAAAGCGGATGGTAGGGCAAATTTGGGCTGGAGAGATGATGTGCCAAATCTATTTTAAAGCCCATATGCTAAAGAATATTGGGAGCACTGTAATAAATGGTAGAATACTCCCCCCCCCCCAAAAAAATCACAATGTCATCTTTAGTGAATTACTTTTAAGGCAATGCTTAGAACTGCAAAAATTTAGTTAGGGACAGGTTTATGCCATTTTAAGGCGAGGATATGAGGAGGCGTAAAAACCAATGATTTCCGCATAAGCGTATCGGGCAAAGTGCTACTGAATGCTATGCCTTTGTGGTCACAATTCTCTTTGATTTTATAATGTACCCTATTTGTTTATCTGTGCCACTGGTTCTGGACCCTTTGTGAATTGCCCCTCAATGTCCTCCTTTTACAGAAAAGGCACCCCCTCCCGAAAAAAAGAGAGACGAGGCTCCCACAAAATTTCAAAATAATAATGGGTTAAATTATGAGGAATTTAAATGTTGACTACGTGAAGGTGCGACTCAATAAAGGTGATTATACTGATGGATGGGTGGAAGTGCAGATGGGGAACAGAGGAGGAGATATTCGTATTAAAAAGGGGGGGGACTCCAGATAATTACATTGATAGATTGATAAATATGGCAAATATATGGCTGGAAAGGCAGATGGATGGATAATTAGATGGATGGATAATTAGATGGATGGGTGAATGGGCAGAACAGTGGTATGATTATACTGATAAATGGGAGACGCATGACTTGCTGTTCTGTCAATTTATCGAGATTGAGGAGTCACTCTGAGTTTAAAAAGAGGGGAGAGGAAGCCGGGCACACCCTGGGCTTCCTTTTCATGTGCTCCCAACAGTGGGGGAAATCTCTGTCTGAATGTGTGAGCGGACCATCGTCCCTCCCAGCCCTCATGCTTCCATATACAATCCATATGCTAGGGTGGGAGGGAATGGGGCAAGAGGATGGCATTGGAGGCAGGGTTGCAACCCCATGAAAACATCCACCCAGACGGAAGCGAGTTGAAACCAGAGTGTAATCGGACACTTAGAAACATGAACAGGTATGTACAGTGTTACAAGTAGAAAGAACAATCCTTTTGCTCAAGAGACACAGAGATAATAGGACACTTTTTGACTTGCTTTTCCCCCCCTCCCCGACTTCCTGTTGTGCATCATCTCTCAGGACCAAGAGGTCTCATTCTCCTGGGGCAATTTTTGGGGCGGGCTCCACTGAGGATGGTAAAATGAGAGGTTGATATGTTTTCTTTTTCTTTTTGATATATAAATAGGGTATTTTCGAAGGGTGGTGGGGTCAAAGGGAAGGGAAATGAAAACTAATTCTGCTTTTGGGAAATGCCCATGATTGGCCGAACCTGAATGGGTGCTTGACCTGGAACCCAGCTGGTCCTCCCCCTCCCCTTGCCCTTCCGGCAGTATGTTCAAGCTGTAGACGGCTGTTGCTGTTACTTAACCCCCTCCCACCCCCCAGCAGTGTGGATGGTTAAAAGTCTGTGGTGTGGGAGAAGCCAGGCGTCATCTGCAAGGACCCTCGCTTTTCTTATCAAAACTTGAGGAGGAAATGAGCAAAGAGGGTGCCTGATAGCCAGAGGCAGGCCATCGCTCTGGAAGCTGCATTGTTGCCATCGTGGACTGCTCCTGGGCCTGGATCAAGTGAGACAAGAGAGAGAGAGAGGTAGAGAAGCTGGTTATTATTTCAAGGATAAAGGGGTGGAGGGCCATAGCTCAGTGGTAGAACATCTGCTCTGAAAACAGAAGGTCCCAGGTTCAATCCCCAGCATCTCTAGATAGAGTTGAGAGACACTCCTGCCTTAACTCATGGAGAGCTACTGCCGGTTATGTGTAGACAGTTCTGAGCAACACGGACCAATGGTTTTGACTCAGTATAAGGCAGTGTTCCTATGTATTCAGGAGACAGAGAATTCAAGTATTTTTCAAAAGTGTTGGAAGGAGTGTCTGGGATGGGCAGTGCTGGTTCCAGGTTTGGGGTGGGGGCCTTGGGCAGAATGATTTCAGGGACACTCCCCTCTAATATCAAAGCAGTGCCTCCTCCTTTGTTTGACACACTGAAAGTCCTCAGCTGTACTGCTGTGATAGGAACTTGTGTGAGATTCATTTACAACTCATTCTCACATAGGACCTACTTCAGAAGTAACATTAGCCCATAGTTTAGCAGTATGAGAGCATGCTTCTGTGCTGCTGCTTCATCTCTCCTCCTCCAGCATGCCTGTGATGAGGAATTGTTTGATTCCTGGTTTAGCTAACCATGGTTTATAGTTACATGTGAAAGGGGCAAACTCTGGTTAGTTCATAAAGTTTAAACTCTACAAACTAAGGTTTGTTGAAATATACCAGGATCAAACCATGATTTCTGATCCTGGCTTGTTCCAACAGAGTTCCCCATTCAGACATAATGAGGAATGCCAGGACGCAGATATTTTCATTCTTTTTCTTGGGGCCATACTAGAAGAGAGGATATTCCATGAGTGCAAGGTTGCGTTCAGACACGGGGAATACTGCATTAGTTGTCCTGATTATAATGCTGGCACTTCTGTCTCTTTTTCTAAGGTTCCATTTACACTGCAGTACCTGTTGTGCTATGGAACTGTGGCTATGCTAAATTCCATTCACACCACTGGGTGTGGTGTGAGCCAACTACAAATGTCACTGGATGGCATCATGACTCCCCCACCCTTTCTGCACATGCATTCTTCCATTGCCCCATGATTGCTCCATGAAAAGAGCAGTAAAGTACTTTATCCTGGTATATTGCTCCACATTTTGTCACTTTGCACTCATTATGTTGTGTATTAAGGGGGCTGCAAATGGATTTCCCCCACCTGGAATCAAATAACATGGAAATGAGCACTAAACATGCACTACATTCCACTACCTTTATGGAAGTGGCTTTTATGTTGTGCGAAAGCTCACATATAACATGAAAATTCGTAGTTAGAAAAACATTGGGGGAAATGGAATAAACTGCCATGTGAATGCAGCCAATGGCTCAGTGTTGCTAATTCATGTAAGATGGACCCAGCAGACAAAAAAAGTAGGACATAAAGCAAAAACTGCTAATATATAACACTTCTCAGAGTGGCCACACAGAATAAGACAGAAATAAAGATATGTATGGCAAAAGAACAAGCAATCCTACCATAAACAAATGAAACGGCAACAATTTAAAATATAATACAAAGAACTTGGCAGCAGCAAGACATTGAGGGCTTATCAAAAGAGAGGTTTTAAGTTTAAAGGGGGAAAGGGGGTGGGGGGAAAGAGAGGTTTTAAGAGGGAAGGTATTCTAGACCTATAGCACCACCACTAAAAAGGCCTTGCTTTTTGTGCTTGTTGACCAAACAGCCCAAGGTGATGGTATGGAAAGCAAGACCTGCTGAGCTTATTTTAAGGACTGCACCAGTCTCTATGTGGGAAGAGAACTGTCTCTTGCTTTATTGCTCTCTCCAACCTGCTTCTTCCTTACTTTGACTGGAAAGGCAATAAATGGTAGTGCCTGTGCTGGGAAAGGAGGGGGCCACAAAGCATATTTCCCTTTTAAAGGTAAAGGGACCCCTGACCATTAGGTCCAGTCGTGGCCAACTCTGGGGTTGCGGTGCTCATCTTGTTTTATTGGCCGAGGGAGCTGGCGTACAGCTTCCGGATCATGTGGCCAGCATGACTAAGTTGCTTCTGGCGAACCAGAGCAGCCCACGGAAACGCCGTTTACCTTCTCGCCAGAGCAGTACCTATTTATCTACTTGCACTTTGAGGTGCTTTCGAACTGCTAGGTTGGCAGGAGCACAGACCGAACAATGGGAGCTCACCCAGTCGCAGGGATTCGAACCGCCGACCTTCTGATCGGCAAGTCCTAGGCTCTGTGGTTTAACCCACAGCGCCATTGTAAATTGGGGATGGGGAACCTGTGGCCCTCAATATGTTGCTGCACTGCAAGTCCCACCGTCCCTCACCACTGAGCATGCTGGTTGGCACCAATGTGAGCTGAAATAAAATAAAAATCTGGAAGGGTACAGGAAGGCTGTTGAGAGATTTGCAAAGCTCACAAGAAACCCTCTCTTGCTAACTTAAGAGCTGCATTGCCCCCAAGCTACCCCCTCCCGCTCCTCACCAATCCCCACTGCAACAATTAGCAACCAAAGAGGCTGGCAACCCTTTGTGCTGATTGATTCATTAATCTGTAATTTTATTGCAACACTGATTGACTCGGAGTCCTGGAATAGAACACATCTGTGCCGAGCTCCTCCCATCTGGAACTCTTTATGAAGTAACTGCTCTTAAATGTTTTACACTCTTGTAGTTTCGTTCTCTAGTGAGTGCTTCCCCCTCCCACCAGCCCCCATCCGTTCCTGTCCCTCCAGTCTCAGTACATGCAAAGCACTGCTTTCGGTTGTTGTTTAACTAGCTGAATGGCACTCGTCTAATTAAAAATTGATAATGACCACAGTGCACGGGCAGACTGCAAAAGGAGACCGCGGCAATACAGGCTTGGATAATGGGACTGCCATTCCTCTTTCCCCTCTTTTTTCTTGAATACCGGGGGATAGTTCCAGTAATGATGCATTGATTTTTATTGCTTCCCTTTAAAAAAATTTGTATTTCCAGCACACACAGGTTACGAGCGGCTGACTCTTGCTTTTGGGTCTCTGGATCTATAAAGGCAACATCCGGGGCTATGATGGGGATTGCCAGCCTGGTGCCCGTGGGCACACATCTACCTGCACAGACCTTCTCAGTGTATCTACATGACAGGTTCCCTCCCCTTGTAAACATAGGTTTGTAAGAGACATTTTATTGTAGCCATTAAAATATGTGGTGACTAGGCTCACATTCACACCATATGTTTAAAGGGCTATACCACTTTGAATAATCATGGCTTCCCCATGAGATTTCTGGAAGGTGCAGTTCATTAAGGGTGCTGAGAGTTCGTAGGAGACCTCCCCATTCCCTATGCAGAATTACAATTCCCAGACTGGCTTAACAACCAATCCTTCCTCACAGGGAACTCTGGGAATTGTAGTTCTGGGAGGGGGAATGAAGGTTCTCCTAACAACTCTCAGCACCATTAACGAACCGCAGCTCCCAGGATTCTTTGGGAGAAGCCATGCCAGTTGAGAGTGTTATCATAGCGCTTTGAATTTATGATGCGAATGTGCCCCCCAAATGTTGGCAAGCCAAAGTTGTGACATTTGTGCATGGAAAGCAATCAAGTAGGAAATACACCGGTAGCCTGTATCTCTTTCTACATACATAGCATGTGCTTCTTGGAGGTGCCTCCCTGCGAAAAAATCCTGCATGGGAATTCAGTCATTCTGCACTCTCATATAAACTGTCTATGGGTTGCACCCACAGTATTGCTAAGTAACGTGTTCTGCCAGCACAAGGATTTCTGCTTGTGCAACAGGATTTCCCTCTCCTTGCCCCACGTACCCCATATATCTGCTGTATGGGTTCCCACAACTCTCTGGAGCAGATGTGGGGAGGGGGGTTGCATGTGGGGGGAAGAGATGGGGGGGTTCTCGATGCTCAAGCACAAATCTATGTGCTGATGATATGTGTTAGTTAGATACCGCCGTCCATCTGCACCTCTCAGACTAATGGGCAGATCAAAGAGCTCTTGGTCACCAGATTTTGTGCTTTCCCAAAGCTCTGATGCAGTTCTTGCTTCCAAAATAATTACCAAAATGTATCTGAAAATAGGCAGTTTGGGAGATATTGCATTTAGAAATGCATATTTGGAGAGATAATAGGTTTTAAAATGCATTGCTAAATGCCTACTTTGTGGGATTTTGTGCTGATATTGTTGTACCAGCTGAGCAAAGAGAATTTTCTTCCCCATTGAGGAACACAGCTCACTCCCTGGGAAATTTTCTCTTTTGGCACCCCCCTTACACACACACTGCCACCCACAGGCAGGGCAAAGTTTCTGAGAGTCTGTTTCCCCCCTCAGCCCTCTTCTGTTCACCTGTGTTTATATCTATATCTATATATCTATATATTCACATTCTTCTTCTGACTTTAGACATCAGTTTTCATGGTGGCTTACAAATGTAATGATGAGGCATAACAATACGAGATGACAATGTGATTCAAAGCAATGAGGAACAACATTTAAAGGCAGCACACAGGCCATATAGCTTCATGCAAACCCAGGAAACCCAGGCGTGAGCCTCAAAGGGAAAATGAGTCAAGGAACAGCAAGGATGTCTGCAGATGCAGTAAGTGGGGTGAGTGGATAACTGTGGGGGAAGAGAAGAAACCAAAGCAAAACAGGGGTTGTGCAGTCTAATTAGCGATGGGTGATTCTGTCAATTTCAGTTCCTTATTTTTCCTGAGCCTTAAGCTCAATTAAGGGATGCGGGTGGCGCTGTGGTCTAAACCACTGAGCCTATTGGGTTTGCCGATCAGAAGGTTGGTGGTTTGAATACCTGTGATGGGGTGAGCTCCTGTTGCTCTGTCCCAGCTCCTGCCAACCTAGCAGTTTGAAAGCATGCCAAAAAGTGCAAGTAGATAAATAGGTACCACTCAGGCGAGAAAGTAAATGGTGTTTCTGTGAGCTACTCTGGTTTTGGTGTTCCGTTGCGCCAGAAGAGGCTTAGTCATGATGGCCACATGACCCGGAAAAACTGTCTGCGGACAAACGCCGGCTCCCTCGGCCTGTAAAGCGAGATGAGCACCGCAACCCCAGAGACGTTTGCAACTGGACTTAATTGTCAGGGGTCCTTTACCTTTACCTTTAAGCTCAGTTATCCACATTTCCACATTGCTTGC